TTAAAAAAGCACCCATGAATTATGTCATTTGAAAGACATGGGCCATATTGTGCCATCAGTTTTTAAGCAGAATTTCTATTGATTTCATTGAGGTATTTTATTTCAAAGTGGGTGGTACAATATTACCCCATATGTATATATCACATGATGCAGGATTGCAAGATCATAATTTGGTACTGACACACTATCAATTTTTCTGCTTAAAGACACTGGTGTCCACCAATGTTGCTGTAGTTCTGGGATGTGAAGTTTTAAAGTCTAACTTCACTCTTTCAGGGCTTCATAATGAATATGTAGTGATTTGCTGTAGGGTGAAACATGGTACTCTATATAAGGCATCAGCTAGAGGGAAATTATTATGAAATTATAGGTGTTCAAAAAGCCAATGATTTACTTTTATTCACTTGTGTTAATCCAAAACAGCTTCTTTGTTAACATTCTAATTGTACATGCTGTATTCAGTGTTATTCTTCAGGATGAAAAGCTTTGTATAAATATTAGATAATAGTTAAAAGTGAATCTTTGTATATGATTAATTGATTGTAAACTGGATCCTTCTGTTTTGTTTTTAAATTAAAGCGCCAAGTTACAGGAGTGATTTATTACAGCAGTATCATATTGCCTCTATATAAATCCATGGTACGCCCACATCTTGAATACTGTGTGCAGATGTAGTCGCCCCCATCTCAAAAAAAAATATTAGACTTGGAAAAGGTTCAGAAAAGGACAACAAAAATTATTAGGGGTATGGAATGGCTGCTGCATGAGGAGAGATTAATAAGACTGGGACTTTTCAGCTTGGAAAAGAGACAACAAAGTGGGGGGGGCAGAATATGATCGAGGTCTATAAAATCATGACTGGTGTGGAGAAAGTAAATAAGGAAGTGTTATTTACTCCTTCTCATAACACAAGAACTAGGGGCCACCAAATGAAATTAATAGGCAGCAGGTTTAAAACAAACAGGAAGTATTTTTTCACACAACACCCAGTCAACCTGTGGAACTCCTTGCCAGAGGGTGTTGTGAAGGCCAAGACTATAACAGGGTTCAAAAAAGAACTAGATAAATTCGAGGAGGATAGGTCCATCAATGGCTATTAGCCAGGATGGGCAGGGATGATGTCCCTAGCCTCTGTTTGCCAGAAACTGGGAATGGGCAACAGGGGATGGATCACTTGATGATTACCTGTTCTGTTCATTCCCTCTGGGGCACCTGGCATTGGCCACTGTTGGAAGACAGGATACTGGGCTAGATGGACCTTTGGGCTGACCCAGTATGGCTGTTCTTATGTTCTTAAGATAGATGGATCAAAACAAAGAAGTCTGTCTTTCCCAGTGAGTGTTTGTTTATAGTGGTTATCAGGATTTCCAAAGAGGCCAGAAGAAAGAAGAGAGAAGGATGGTACAGAGGGAGCAGGAAGGGAGTATGGAATATGCCATAAAACCATTGAGGAACAGAAAGAAAGTACAGGGAAAGTGAGAAAGTCTACATAATGTCTGCACAAACTGACTTTCTGCCCAGCATGGCTTAAACGATAGCATAGGCCAGTCAATTTGGTTTGGGAGAATGGCTTCTGTCTAGTTTGTCAAATTCAGTGAATGAGTCACCTCAGTCTGCCTAAAAATCTGCTACTACACGAGGATGTGCTATAAGATTCTCTACCTACCCACCCACTGGCTTAAATTTTTAAAATAAGCCAATATGTATTAACATAACGACAGTGACAGAATATGATGGAGAATAATGGCTCTACAGCAAGCAAATAACATATTTAAAAATAAAGGCTTAAACAGAAATAAAGAGGGCCAAATTTTTTAAATGGGTCTCTGATGCCATGCCAGCAAATTTTGTGTGTGAAACCAGCATTTTGAAATTCAAATATGAGGCTTGTGCATGCAAATGAATGTATTATATGGAATGTGTGAGTGCTGTTTTAGGGGCCAGTTTGATAATTCAGACCTGGATTTTTCTTGGGTACATCATGTGCTTTTAAAGGAGAAATTACTGTCAATATAGCAAATAACAGACATTTTCAAAATTCTCTAATGGAACTTTCAGAGTAGCAGCCGTGTTAGTCTGTATCTGCAAAAAAAACAAGAGTACTTGTGGCACCTTAGAGACTAACAAATTTATTTGAGCATAAGCTTTCGTGGGCTACAGCCCACTTCTTCGGATGCATAGAATGGAACATATATTGAGGAGATATATATACACATACAGAGAGCATGAAAAGGTGGGAGTTGTCTTACCAACTCTGAGAGGCCAATTAAGTAAGAGA